TATTTAAGCATGGCAGATCAAGGCCAAGACGGCATGCTGGGCGGGTAATCAGGGGGTGGGGGGAATGAGCACAGGACAGGAGATCACAATTTTCGTGTGAGAGGCTAGCAGCGACCATCCCTTCATAGTGTTAGGAGCAGAGGCTATGTCGTGTACATGCCAACTGAATTGCACCCGTGCGATGACACAACGGGAGGGCACAGCCATCATCCTGTGGAGAGGTCCTTTCACTGTTTGTGGTAGAATCAGCCGGATTGCTTTCCAGGGGGTGCAGTGCTTGCAAATGCTCATCGACATACTGTTCCTGATGGATGAGCCAGACTGAGTGACCCTGGAGCATTTGTTGATAGGAGTTAATGTTTCCCACTGTGTGCACCCTACCGCCAGTGTCCCATAGGGTCCATGAATTATCTGCAAAGGTAAGAGCACTGAAGTGACCTGGACGATATAAGATATATGCCCGAATATTCGGATCTGTGCCTGGCTCGAGGTTTTGCGGAGCAGGCTGGAATTGCAGTCGCCTACCCATAAGTGCCATAGCCAGGACTTCTATGTTCAACCCAGGCGCAGCGTTGTTGTCCTCTGGGCAGACGGCACGGTGCCCTTCTTCTATCCAGCGAACAACGTCTGCGAAATCAGCAACAGTATAAGGATTACAATTGTAAGCAAGGAGACATACATTAATGGCATAGTACGCACAGCGCCCTCGCTGTTGCGCTATGGCATTGTCTGATTCCGCAGGTTGCGTGGGGGATCCGTTTACGGCAGGGGGATCCTCATTCGATTCTGAAGGTTGCACAGGTGGCGGAGACTCGTTGTGGTCTTGACCAATTGGCTCCGGTATGTGGTCCGGAGAGAGATGATCTTCAACCGGGGGCTCCATCAGGTAATCAGGAGACGGGTCATTGCCATTTGGGGCAGGGGAGTGAGTGGGGCTAGGTGGATGAGAGAGGGGCGGGTCAGGTGGGTGAGAACTGGGTGGACCAGATATGGGAATCGGAAGCTGATCAGCCTCACTTGTGCTCAGGGCGGCTGCTAGTCATGCAAACGCTGCACAAGTAGCTGCACCCTGTGTCTGGTGCACTCGTAAGCCTGCAGTACTGAAGAAATCATCGCCACATTGCGGGCATCGGACTCGATGTGCACTATTCCTCACTAGCGTATACTGAAAGCGACGATGTCGTTCCGTTTGGTTGCGAGCATATCGTCGGAGCAGATCTCTAACCCCTGCAGGGGGCGCGGTGATCATGCCATTCAACGACAAACGAGGCCGCTGTCTTGGAGGCTGCCTGTGGAGACGGGGAACGTCTCCGCCGAAGAGGCATCTGTAACGATCGATCTAACAACGGATACCTCGGCCGACAGGGCCTTTGTGACGGCCGATCTGACCATGAGTGCATTGATGATGAGGTCGATGATGAGGAAGTAGAGGAAGAAGTAGGGAAAGAGGAAGAAGAAGATGATGCAGATGACTGAGAGGATGCTGCAACAGAGGATGTCGGTGGGGGTGGCGGTGATGATGGTGGTGGTGGTGCTGATAATGATGGCAGTGATGGCGGTGGTCGTGGTGGTGCTGGAGGCGGTGGTGGCAGTAGTGGCAGAGGAGGAGGTATACCTTCAGCAGCCGCAGCAGCAACAACAGTCGCTGTATTGGTAGGATGTTGGCCTTCATCCCATACTGCCATTTCGGTAACGTTCACATTGTTTACTGCGGCCGGCATGATCTCTGGCTGAGTTGGTGTATCGACATTAGCGTCTGCCATTTCAACACAGATAACAGGGGGGGGCGCGCGGTCTGCATTTGATTGTGCGGAGGGCTGATGCTGGCTGCGGTCAACATTGGTGTCAGACGATGAGTGGTGGTCTCTTGTGTGCGGTTGGGTGGAGGACCTGCGCACTGAATCAGCTTTCAGGAGTGGGTGAGCAATTGCCCAGCAAACCATTCGGTGAAACCAGTTTGAAAGTCGTGTGACATGAGTTGGTAGCCGGCGTTGTCGGCCACACACATATGCAGTCCAGCCTCTAGCCAGGACACTGGGAGGATGGCCCCTGACAAGCATACGTCGTGTCAGGGAAGTCACTGCCACTTTGAAGTTGGTGGTATTGTTACATATATGTTCGAATCTCGTTAGTTGTCCCGTGAGCACACCTGCAGGCTGATGAGCCGGAGCGTTGGAGGAAGCACTGGGATAACGTATGACAGGGAACGTCCAGGTCTCGGGCTTATCAAATACGCCAATGCGAAGTGAGCCATCAGGCCGAACCAGGATTCTTGCCCCAAGGAAAAGGCATGACCCATCTTGCTCAGTAGTGTCTTTCCATTCAAGACCATACCGAGCAGGAGACGGCGGCAATGTCTTCCAGGATAGAATGTCATCAATGAATCGATATGTGAACGCATATGCTTGCGCAGCACGCAGATCTTGCTGACGAAGACCATCGATGAGCTGTGCTTCGTCCCAATAAAGTGTGAGGTTGGCAATTTCTGGTCCAGCGTTAGTGCCCATAGGGATACCGACCACCTGATGGCGCAGAGTGCCATCCCTCGTATACAGGTAGGTATTAGAGACCACGAACCGCAGATGTTGCTCTATTTCTGACACCGAGAGGGTGTCTGACCCATGTGAAGTAACCCACTCCCCACGATGAGGACCTCCTACAGTCATGTACATCTGTACTGGCCTTCTTCCCTGTGAGATCCGCCCCAAAGCATAATCATGTGCTTCACGAACAACATTCAGAACATTGTTAAGAATCCTGTCGTGTGGCAGGCGCGTGTACATAGTTGTAAGGTCCGCTGTATGTGGTGTTCAGCCTCGAAGGGATTGTGCATTCTGCTTGAGATCCATAATGTGACTTCCTCAACACTTTGCACGATCCAGCAACGTTGTACACCACTTTCTTGAAAAGCTCATTATCCTTACTGTTGATTACACCTTGAAGGGCGTAGCTAAGTGAGCGGGAGGCCATTGTTGTACTTGCAAAAGGCTTATGAGGGGGTCTGTTGTACAGGTCCGTAATAGAAGGTGGGAGAGGTGTTGTGCAAGGTGCAGATCGGGAAAGGTTGTTTCGTTGTGTAACTCCAAGAATCGGACGAAGAGAAAGTGGAGATTTGTGTGCTTTGAGTGCAAAGTAGAGATAGGGCAAGGTGTCAGTATGTCGATAGCCCCAACAGAAAGTGTGTGTGTGTGTGTGGTGCGTGTGTGTGCGTCCGTGTGTGTGTGTGTGTGTGTGTGTGCTTGTGTGTGTGCGTGCGT